TATATATATATATATATATATACACACACACACATATACACACACACATATATACAGTATATAAAGAAAAACCTAAAACTCCTAATTTTTTGGGCATTTCCAGGTAGAATAGGAAATGTTTTGCATTCGTCCCTGGTGGAAGTTAACCCACACACCTATTGCATATTTATTTATTCAGCATTTCACGATTATCCCACTCAGGGATGCATTCATTAAGTGTGTCTCTTTACCCTTGTATGTTTCAGGTGATAGCAAAGTTTAAGTGATCCTGTCTAAAATGAATCTGAAACATGCATATTGAATGATGTTCTAATTAACAATTAACCAACAAAAAAGAAAAAAAAATCACAGCATCCAACATGTAATAAAGCAGCTCTGTAGATCACATTGTAGCTCTTCTATGTATCATTTAGTCACCTTTATGTATTATTTTGTAAAGACAAGAGGCGAGAATTCTCACAAATAACCCAAAAAAAGATACCTGTATATCTGACCGAGTGATTTCCCTGCAAAGTTCTTCAGCCCTTCCTTTCCAGGAGTTAAAATCCTTTGTTTTATTGAATCCATTATTGCTTCAGGTGCGTCGTTAGCAGGTGTCTTCTTAAATGCTAAGGTGCACGCAATGGCCAATTCTCATAGTGCTATTATATTCCAAAAAGACAACAACAACAAAAAAGAAGAAACAAAAGACAAAAAAAAAATCCAACGCTAAGGGTAAGATCCTACAAAAATATAGAGAGGGAGACAATGGCTACAAGGTGTTCCTGGCACCGAGTCCTCTTCTCAATGCGAGTGAAGGTTGGATCATGGCTATCACAGCGCTCTGTGCATTGCTCCTCTGGCTGCTTCACAATCCATGTTGCATCACATCTGCCTTAACGAAACTCTGAAGCTCCGCTCCTTGGCAATGGCGAGGCGTGGAGGAGATATTGCTTTTCATGAGAGACCCAAAGAAACAAAAAAAAAAATTCCAAGATAGAAAATTCCAACAAGGAAAAAAAAAAAAAGAATTCTCCAACCTTTCCTGGTCTTTGGTGCAAAGTGTAAGAATATTCCCAGAGGGGTCTTAGATGGCTGCACCTCTCACTGTCAGCATCAGAGGGAGTTAAGGTTTTTTGTTCATGGGCAAGTGAAAGGTCTTCAACAGGCTGCAATTTCCTAATTCACTCAACTCCCCCCCTTGAGTCTCTGCTGGTGCTTCAGCACCACGGACAGGTCCGGGGGAAGAGGCTTCCTGTTCTCTCTCTCTACTGCTAACTTTCACAGGGAATTGGGGCGGATCGCAGTGCAAGGCATTCATTCTGTGGCTCCTTAGAGTGGATGCTATGGAAACCAAAGAGAAGATGTCATCATTTCAAGTCTATGTGCACCAAAGGTGCAAGGTCCTCATTCAGGAGTTTATTCAAAAGAGACACCTTCACCTTATTCCTTTTGTCTTCACATTGCTGATGTTACATTGTTATTATCATTTATTTACAGAAATGTTCCGTTGTTTTTTTTTTTACTTCTGGGACTCACTTTACACCTTCAATACAATAATGACCGACCTCCTATTGGGCACCGGTACCACCCCCGCTTACATATCATAATACAAAGAATAATAAACAATGGGGTTCTCAGCACCCCATTGTTTATTATTCGTTGTACTCTGATTACGCCTCATAAGCCAAAAAAGAAAAAAAATCTTGTGATATAGGGGGGTGGCCCTCGTCCCTGGCTCAATATTTCCAAGCGGCGTGATCATGTGACAGATGACGGAATGTCTTTCCATGATCACACCATGCAGGGGGTTCAAAGAAGAACGACGACGAGCGCTCCCAATCCTTGACAAAAGCCAGAACGTAGATCATTTCCGGAATGTTGGAAAATATCTCTAGGATTGAGTACCATGCCTTCCCTTATCTATGGAGAAGGTGGAGTCCTAGGCGCTATTGCATTAAGGTGTGCACACAAAAGTACAAACCCACATGCGTATATATATATTAGGGATGCACCGATACTGTTTTTTCTGGACCGAGTATCAGTATTTTTTTTTTTCAGTTACTCACCGATACTCAATACCGATACCGGAAGTCCCATTAAGGAAGCTGGGCGGCCTGTAATGACTCGCCACTTTCCCAAGTGACCCAGGTGACGAGGGAGCATGAAACCACCCTTCTGGCCAACCGGGAAGCCAGGAGCGGGTAATGACTCGCCGCCTTGCTTCCTGAGTGGCCAGCTTCCCGACCAATCAGGACGCCAGGCGGCGAGTCATTACACGGCGCCTGATTGGCCGGGAAACCAGCTCCATGCTCCCTCATCCCCAGGTGATGAGGGAGCATGAAGCCGGCTTTCTGGCCAATCAGGAAGCCAGAGGGCAGGTAATGACTCAATGCCTGGCTTCCTGATTGGCCAGCTTCCCCACCAATGAGGAAGCTGGGCGGCAAGTCATTACACATTGCCCAGCTTCCTGATTGGCTGGGAAGCCAGCTCCATGCTCTCTCCTCACCAAGTGACGAGGCAGCATGGAGCCGGCTTTATAGCCAATCAAGAAGCCAGGCACCGTGTAATGACTCGCTGCCCGCCTTCCTGATACCAGGAGTTCGGGTATCGGGCTAGGCATCGGAGCATTTGGGCGAGTACGAGTACTTACCCAAATACTCGGTATCAGCACAGATAATGATGATAGTTTCGGTATTGGTGCATTCCTTATATATATATCTCATTATGTTATGTGAGGAATGTAAGTGGCAAATGCTGCTGCGCTCTGTATCGCTGAGCCGGTCACAGAGAGAACTTTGTGATCTCTACACTGGCTCATTGACTAAAAACATGGAGCCCGCTGTTGCAGTTTCGGTGTTGCACTTGGGGTGATTAGGGTGTGCCCAGGCAGACCCAGAACACCCCTTTTGCATGCCTAGGGGTGGAGCATGCGCTTTGTCATATATGTGCCTCATTATACCACAATGACCTGGGTGAGGGTGGTTACATTGGTTGCCACCCATTCTACCTGGTGGCCCACTATAGAGCACCTCAGCATGACTGAGAAATGCTGCTGCTGTTGTTTACTGGATTGTGTTAGCAAGTGCCAGCTAGAGGGACCTACTCCCACGCCATGCTCCTGTGACCCATGTCTCACGTTGTTGCTGGTTGCAAATGCCCTTGGTCATGGTCTCAGCCAGAAGTTCTTATTAATACATGAATGAAAAATGCTGCAACTGGTCCCTGATAGCAAATGATAGGTACAGGGAACAGCTATATGTCCCTGTGGTCCTTGTAGTAAGCAACATTAGACGTCATTGGTTACAAATTCTACGACCAGTAAATCATTTTTTTTTTTTATGTCTGTGTCCCCACTAGGAAGATTGCCCCTCTCTTCCTTTACTGGTGACTTGACAGGAAGTGGAAGTAAATATCATTGAAGTGACAGAAGACATGACTTTTCATTAGGACAGGATGTGAGGTTTCTTTCCAGGGGCAACATAGTGAGCAACCGTAGCAATTCTGCTTCACCCAAAACTGACAACATTTGCCTGGAGTTTACCCCCTTTGTATACTATGTTACTTCAATGTCATCAAATATTATTGCAAATGTGTATTGTAACAAGGACACTCCACTGTAGACCGGAGGTGCAAGTCAGATGCAGTTTATTTGCTTTCATTGGAAACACACCGGAATGAATGTTGTTCTCAATCTTTGTTGTAAGGTAAGACCAGCAAGAATGTGTCCCTGTCGGGTGCATCCGGATGATCATGTTGGAGATTGATTTCTGACCTCCAAGCTTTGCAGAAAATGGAAGGTTCTGCTGGCTGCTAATGTCTCATCTCAGCTCTTCATAGAGGAAAACCATCCAACCCCTTTACAAGGCTGCCCTCTACTGTCCACAGACAAGCATCGCGCTCACCTGGAGGACTGCGGGGATTAAAGGGTTAATGACACAGAAGATGAGCTCATAGAACATGTTCAATGGCAGGAAAGAGAAAGAAGACGTATTGCGAGAGAGAGATAGAGAGATAGAGAGAGAGATAGAGAGATAGAGAGATAGATAGAGAGATAGAGAGATAGATAGAGAGATAGAGAGAGAGAGATAGAGAGAGAGATAGATAGATAGATAGATAGATAGGAGATAGATAGGAGATAGATAGGAGATAGATAGGAGATAGATAGGAGATAGATAGGAGATAGATAGATAGATAGATAGATAGATAGATAGATAGATAGATATGTATATATGAGAGGGAGGAGAAGGAGAGGAGAAGTAGAAAGAAGAGAGGAGAGAGAGAGAGAGTGAGAGGGAGGGAGAGAGGAGAGGGGGGGGAGAAATGTATATATGAGAGAGAGAGGAGCGGGAGAGGGGGGGGAGAGAGAGAGAGAGAGATTTATATATGAGACAGAGGAGAGGGAGAGAAGTAGAAAGAAAAGAGGGGGAGGGAGGGAGAGAGAGAGAGAGTGAGAGAGAGAGAAGTAGAAAGAAGAGAGGAGAGGGAGGGAGAGAGATACTCTATGACTAAGCCCATTATGGGGTGAAACATGTCAGAGTGAAGAGGATCCTCGGCCAGACGACTGTGAGCTATAATAAGAAGAAAGAATTAACGAAAGAAAAAGACAGAAAAAAGGTTCCACATCCAACTCCTCCTCTTGGTATCTGGATCGGAGAGAATGGAACATTTTTCAGTTTGCTGTGATCTGATTGGCTCGTCGTCAGAGATAATTCTCACACATATAGAATTCTGATGTCCTGGTGTTATGTAGGGGGTTAGGGTTAGGGTTGGGGGAGGGGGGGGCGGTCAGATACTCCCAAAATACATGCTGCAATTTAGGAGTAATTTGCCGGAATGATCCGGAGTGAACCCGACGTTCTCAAATTGCACGTCATTAGCCACCAGACAAAAACAGAAATTTGTGCGACGGATTGCTGCTTATAAACTCCACCACAACCAGCCACTTAACCTTCTCAAATGGGGAATTGATGACGGGTAATTTTAGAAAGTGTCATTATTCTATTAAAGGGAATTCAAGAACGAGAAGAGAGATTCATCGCTGATACATCGCAGACAGAGAAGAGAAAAATTTCTCCCTGTTTGGTGAAATTAATTGAGAAAAGGTGAATTTAAGGAGATTTTTACAGATCTGGCTCCTTGTTTTTACATTTTTTTTAAAAGAAAGAATACACAGAAAACAAGGAAAATTAAAGTGACAGTACACAAATAACAATCAGACACACACAAAAAGGAAAAAAACCTTCAAATACAAAGAAAAAGAAAAAACTAATAAACTAAACTACCAAAAAATCCCACATCTTCTAAATAAATGAAAGAAAGAGAAGAATAGATTTTTCTTCACCTCTGAAGCTCACTAAGTGAAACTGAGAGTTCCTGTTACACATACAACCCAATTATACCGGATTCGCTGAGACAGTTCTGAATCTTGGCCCAACGATAGTGTCCTGAGCCATGTCACGGGATCACAGCAACAGCACATGCGCAGTAACTCAACAATGAATTATTAATTGTGAGGATTGGGGTTGGGAGTGGGAGGTGCCTTCATATTTAGATTTGGGGGTCTGAGTGGGACCAACCCATAAAGTGGACACGGTGGGTGGTCCCTGCATATTTTGAGCTGGGGTCTGGGCGGGACCAACCCATAAAGTGGAGAGGGTGGGTGGT